GCAAAAATGCCTTTGGTTGTTGGTGCCTGCATGGCAATGCACACACCAGGAAAAGGCTCTGCACATGGAGCCTTCACCTGCAACTTGCTTGGACTGAGTGAAGAACTGAGCTGTAGCTGGCTCATGAAATAAATTCAAGCATCCTCTGCCTCAGCTGTGTGCACCAGCCTTCCCAGGAGGGAGACACAGCCCTTTATTCCTGTGCTGCCAGGTCCAGCACTGGTGCCAGCCAGCCATGCTGCTGCCCTGCAGGAAAGCCACCTGGCCTGTGCAGCCCTGGGCACTGCAGCAGGAGGCTGTGAGAAAGGACAGCCCCGGAGCCATCACAAACACTGGTTGCACTGTGAGCTCCAGTCAGTCTGCAGAGCGTTTGAGTCAGTGAGGCGTACTTCCCATGGGAACTCTTAGTCCTGGCTAACTTCAGGCAGGACCAATTAGAGCAGGGAGTAAATACACTTAGCATGCTCAGGAAAATACATCTAAAGCTGTTTATACACATTCCTTTGGACCAGTCAGCAACAAAAATGTCCTTACAGCTGTTTCCTCCTTCCTTTCTTCCCTCTCTCTCTCTCTCTCTCTGTGCCGCTTCAAAAATAAAGCTCGCTGGCCTCACCTAACCCTTGCTGGGTTTACTCCTATTCACTCCCAGCTCTGTCAGGTCTTGTGTGCCACCAGCCCCTCAACCGGTGAGCTTCCAACAGACTTCTAACTGTGTCATTTTTCTGGCCCCCCTCAAGGAGCCAAGAGGAAAATGCAATGCAACAGAAGCCAGGAGGAAAAAGGTTTGCATGTTTCCTTATAATCGAGGAGCTGATACCCAGCACCAAATCACCTTCATCTCCTCGGGCCACCTTCGTCATCAGGCCTGGGCTTTGCGCACACGGTGCGCTCGATCGGCCCTAATGGCACCCTGAGAGCCACTGCCAAAGCCATAACTGCTATCTAACGAGGATGATCTCAGGGGATGGACCATGGCCACAGGGACCGTGTGCAGGGAACAGGGAACCCGGATCTCATGTCCGAGACCACTGCCCTACCCACAGGGTCGCTCTTTTTCCTCATTGCTATCATGCTTGACTCAATGTGCGTGTTTTACGATCGGTCACATTAGCTACATGGGGATTTTCCTGATTTCCAGGTGAGGGACTGAGGCATTTGTGAGAGAACTCCAAATGAATGATTCAGATGTGCAGCATAAATAGGGTTTGATCCTAAAGAAAAATCTTCCCATTAAGTTTCACCATGAACCAGTATTTTGTTTCACAAAAGAAGTGGGGTACTGTAATTTGGACTCATTCAAGTTGAGAAGAGCTTTCTCTTCAAAGCCAGGACAAAACAAGAATATGACTAAATTCTCTATGATAAAAAAAAACCAAACCTTTTTTTTTAATCTGGACAAGACTAGTTTGACTTACTTTATATTTCACATAACCTATTACACCACATTTTAAAGAGTTGTTTCAAGATTTTAAAAATAGCACTTTTCATACTAAAAATATTTCAAGATATTTTGAGTTTTGACAGAGCTGCATTCTCCAAAGGAAAACCTGCTCTTCCTGTGTTTGCCCTACCAGCTGTTTGGTGATTTTTTATGCCATACAACTGAGGTGTCGGGGTGTCAGCACCTCCAGAGCTGGGCAGGCAAGAGGGAGAGATTCATCTCCCCCAGCCAGCAAGGATGGGCAAGGCTCTCTGGTTTCCAAAGCTTTCTCCTACCAATCCAGCTGTGGTTAAATGCCAGCCAGTATGTGCCAGACAAACTGGAGGCCAGCTCAGAGGAATCCATTGGGCATTGAAGTCACAAGTGCGCATTTCTGGAAAGAGCTCTCTGCCAAGCTCAGGGAGGCTGAGCTTGAGAACATCTGGTTGAGACACACATGTGCATGCACACACACACACACAGCAATTCTCAGAGCTCAGCTAATACAGCATTTGCTCAGAGTACTTTAAAGCTTAATTTGGGTGATCACAGTGGCTTTGTGAGCACATCTCACTAGAAGAGCAGTTCCAGGCTTTATCTGCTCAACCCTCTCCACCTTCCCTCATGCTTGTACAGCAGAGCAGAGCCTAATGAGCTGGATGTGATGCAGTGCCTCACTCTCTGGTCCACAGCCTGGATAGAAACAAAGACACGATCCCACGTGTGTGTTTAGGTCTGGCAGGTTAACAGTAGCTAAATATCTGATGGGAGGGAAAGGCAGGACCAGATGTGTTCAGATGAGCAAGAGAGGACCATGTAGTCATCAAAATGCAAGATACCTGTGTGAACTGCTTGGTTTTGTCACAGATTTCGACACATCTAAAGAATAAGTGAAATGAAACCCCCTGTCTTGGGTCTAAAGTGTTTAGGAGAGTTCCCCCTCTGTGCAGACGTAGTCTCCCAAGCACAAAAGAATGAAGAAGACTTTGATTATAGCTGATATGACTACACCTAGTCCACACAGGAAGAAATAAATGGTAACAAGACCAAGATCTTTGCCACAGAAAGAAGAATTTAAGCCACACAATTACACCTGTCTTCCAAACAAAAAAACACTCCTTCTGAAACAATGCACGAAAGCCATCTAGATGATAAACCCTAGATGATCAGATCATCAAGAAAAAAGATCATTTTAGCATGTGTCAAGTCCACCAGCAATGCAGGACAATAATGGGGGTGGTAAGACGTAGCCAACACTGCCCAGAGAGCAGGTGGAACCATCCTCAGCACCATCCCTCAGGAGCACCTCTGTGACAGGAAAACCCTTCAATCACTAGTCAGCCTAAGCAAAGAGCAGTCTTGCTGGAAAGCTGAGACTCAGTGCAATCCATGTGTTAACAAGTGATTAGTGCCTTTCCTTGAAAATGTTCAATTATTTTTCTTTTATTGGAAATCTGAAAAGCCTCAAAGTGAAAGATCTTCAGCAGCTGAAAAAGTATCTTTAATTTTCCAACAGAACCTGTAAATTTCCATGGAATAAGTCAATGAAAACAAACATTTTGTCACTCGCATCAACATTTTCCAGGAAGAAGGGAGAGGATAAGGGGAAACATTATTTTTGACAAGGTCTGCTGATTGGCAGAGCTCTTTAATAAATAGATCAGGCCAGAGCATACGACTTCAGTCCACATGGCAGAACAGTTGGTCCTTGAAAGGCTGATAGAGATCTTGTTGGCTGAGTTTCCCCTGTGGTTGACAGAGCATTAGCTAAAGACAGGATACAGGCAACCAGTCCTGCTGAGAATGACTGGTTGCCAAACCAGTGGCTGGCAGGATCTCTAAAGGCTTAATGATAGAACGCAAATGCTCACATAGAGACCTGACCAGCAGAGAATTTGCTAGCGGGGAAACTGCAGGCTACCACATACCGTAACAGGAGCTCGCTCTCAAGGAGTGAGGAAAAAAATAACAAAAAAGAGAGAAGGTCGGCTCTTCAAGCATTTCCAAGGTGGTTATAACCTTTCTCCAAAGAGGCAAATCCAACATTAAACACCAGGAGAATAAATCAGCTGCAGGGACTGGCAAAAGGCTGAGAATCTAAATTACAGCAAGGTCAATAGGAAGCAGGGGGCTGCTCAGAGGGAGCCGGAGTGAGAAATTCAGCACATCTGGTAGGTACAAAGCAATGCCCTTCGGGCAGACTCAGCCCCCAGCCCACCCCTATGCAGGGCCTAGAGCTCAGCAGAGGGAACAACACACGCAGAGACAGCCACGGGGAGGTCCTGTCTGAGGGAAATCCGTCTGCAAGAGGGTGGAGGGGGAAAAAGAAAAAAAAGGCAGGTGAATAAATGAGAAGCAGCAGTGTTAGGGCTGTGCAGCTCGTGTGGCCGCCTGAACAGATGTGAGCTGCTGCCTCTGCTGGCTCAGGGGACGCTCTCCTGCTCTGGAGACAGAGCTGGCGGCTGTGTTTGCTTTGGTGTGGTTGCATGCGTGCCAGCAGCAGGGCTGCACCACCCCTGGCACAGACAGCCCCACCACGGATGTCACAGGAGAGCTCCAGGGCAGCCCCTGCAAACCCACTGTAAGGTGCAGTGCTTTGCCAGCCCTCTGCTTCACACAGCTCATGGGACAGAAAAATCAATGCAGGGAAGCCTTAAAGCTCCCCTAAATGCCCATGGGGAGCTCAGGCTGTGCAGGTCTGAGCACTGGCACAGCACAGGAGGGACTCCAAGCAGATCTCTGGAGATGAACATAAAGGAGTAGCGTGCAGCTGATTTTTCTGTTGACTTGGAGACTTGTCAATCAAGCACCCTTTGAATGTGTAACGGGTGGGTTGCAGCCCAAACCCATATTTACATGAAAACATCAATAAAAGCTGTATGAGCCTTGAATGTACATGCAGAGGCATGGCATGGAAAGCAAGATGAAAACCAGGGCAAAGAGCAGGAAAATTAAGAATATAAAAGGTTTTGTTGGAGACAAAAGTAGGTCAGAGACTGATGGTGTTTTGGGGGACGTATCACAGAAACACAGAATATTCTGAGCGGGAAAGGGATCCACATGGATCATTGAGTCCAGCTCCTGTAAGGAGGCACAATTAGGTGGCATGGCAAGGCTGATCTTATTTGGGCTGTGTGGGACCAGCAGAGGTTTGGTGGCCAGGCTCCCCTGCAAGCATCAGCACTGCCTGCACATCAGTGGGGCAAGCTCTGCCCTGCTGGGTTCAGTCAGGTTCCCCAAGGGAATGCTTCCCAGTATGGCAGCACTTTGATTTGCTCTCAGATGGTACCAGAGCAATCCTCTGACCTCTGTCTGGGTTTGGATTTGAGTTTGCCACAGTATAAATTAAAACTTTGATCTCAAACACCACCAGGATTGTGAAGTGTTGTCAACACTTATGAGTATTCCATTAACATTTGAATACTTTACAGTGTAATTCCCTTTTAACAGTTCATCATTTCTTGCTTGCATTATTTTTTGCTGCTATTTATCAACATATCTAACAAGATTGCCCTTTGTAACTAATGCAAAAGAACATGAGGAGATAAACAGCCTGTGAAGGTGACATGGACAGCACAGAAAAGAAAAAAAGGGACAATAATAGATATTCAAGCTGAATTAAATCTGGAGCTTTAGAACTTCTGCCGGATGGTGGCAAGGAAAGTGTAGAAAACCTTGCAGATGGCAGCTCCTATGTGACCCACAGGAGTAGTTATTTTCCAGTGTCCCAAGGAAGGAAACAGAGATGTTGAGTGTCCCTCCCACTGCTCCCAAATGCAGGTGTTGGTACAGTGACAAGCTGCTGTCATCCACGGTGGTGTCACTCAGAAAGGAACGCTGGGAATGGGTCCTTTGTCTACAGCTCTTTAGCCTGACTCTGAACTAGTTCAAGGTATTGGAACACCAATGAGAATATGAGAATAACAAGAATATTTCAATATGTATAAACATATAGGGCTATCTATGTATTATTGAAATGTGAACAGACATGCAAATTTACATTACCTTTTTGTTCATCTGCCAACCTCTGCTTAGCCCAACCCACAGGGACCTGCTGAAACAGTGGCTCAGGTGACTGCTTTGCTCAAAGGCTTGGAGGAAGGGAAGAGCTGTGGCCAAGACCCCAGAGAAGTTGCTGCATGGGGAAGGGAGAGCAGGGATGTGAGCTGAGGTGCTCAGTGTCACCAGGACAAAGCCAGTCAGGGGCAGAGTACAGCCTGAAAGGCTTATAAAGAAGCATTTATAAGTTCTCCAGAGTGGATTTAAAACTGGTGGTCGATGTAGTGACTAAAGCTGCAATCCTCAAAGGTATTTAGGTATTTGATTCTCTGGTCAAACCAAACTTTTGAGGATCTGGGCTCCAGTGCAAGGACTTTCCACCTTGGCGAGCATGAGTAATGGTTTGGGCAAAAGTACCAGAAAAGGGCCACGGCCCTCAGGTTCTAACAATGGCTTAGATCCTCAATTGGTGGGTCCCAGTTCCTCAGAGCCTCTCTGAACTGCATGTGGTTTCACACACTGTCTTGATGTGTGGTTCTCTCTGCCTTTGCCAGCACTGCCATCCCCTTGAGCTCCTGTTGCTGTGGCAAGGCTGAGGTTCTGCAGCACTGGTGAGGGAGCAGGGAGCCTTTCTGGGAAGATGGGAAGATTGGGGGAAATGAGGAGAGTAACAAAAAACCAGCACAGTTAGGGGACTCAGTCAAAAAGCTGCTATTGAGTAGGATGGTAGGTGCACCTTGGAGGGGGGAAGAGTCACTAAATTACACAATGGAGACATTCTAATTAGAGGTGGCTATCACCTCATCTAGTCATATATACTATTTGGCTGAAGTTGACGTATCCCTGTGGACCATTTCAGCTTCAATCAGTTTTAAAAGGAAGATTTTCTTGGTGAAACAGAGAGAAAGAGACAGACTGATGCTCTTTACCTAGTGTTTAGGACATTGGCCACACTTTAAATCCTTATTCTGCCTGATTCAGAATGAGCTCAAAAACCTCTGCAAGTAGGAAAAAAAATGAGTCTAGGAGGTGATGGTTTAAAAACACTACACTGGAATGTTTAAAATATGTCAAAACTTCTTTTTTTTCTTTTCTTTTTTTTTTTTTTGAATGGGAAATTCATCAAACCTGACACTTCCCATGAAGAGTTCTGGCTCCAATGAATCAGTATATTTGGACACTCCCTGATTCCCCCACCTCCTTCACCACCGTTTCAGCCAAATATTCTTGGCTGGTTCTAATTATACAGCCATATATTTTTATACGCACACACAGCCAGCGTGCACACGTGAAGGCTCAGCAATCACAGATCAGACAGGGAGGAAAGTGTTGATAAGACCTTAGCTGCTCCACAACATAAAAAATTGTCTGAGAACCCTTTCCCTCCCCACCTCTTCACCTCACCCTCCCAGGAAATGCCCAGCAGAAGAGGCAGTGGGCTCTGCAGATGGCAGCCACATGCACTGGCTGGCTGAGTCTTGGCATTTCTGCATTTCTCTAGTGCCCTCCTCAGGTTTTGCAGAAGTTCACCTTCCTCTGGATGCGAGGTTCACCTTCCTCTAGATGTGAGACTGCATCTGGCCCTGCTGTTCCGCTGCCAGGCATCCAGCACCCTCGAGGGAAGGTGAGAATTGGTGCTTTCCACGCTCAGTGGGAGGTCAGGGAAATGGAGAAGTCCAGGGAACACAATATCCTCAGTTATGAAACTCAACATCAAGAGCTTCCACCCTTCCACACAGTGCTTACAGCCCTGGAGAAAAGGGTCCCTGTCTGGAGTCCTGGCATTTCCAGTAAGAGCCAAGGGCACTAAGCATCCAACAGACACGCAGCACCTCTCAGGATCAACCCATAATTCAGGGCTGCTCAAGGCAGCTGGCAGGAGGCATTACCTGAGCCCAAAGCTGCTGGTTCAGATTTCAGTGGGGGTTCCTACTCCACATGAGATTGACTCTCTTAAGGAAGGGGGTAGGGGAAAGGTTTTTCTCTGAAAAGGATGAAAGAGTTAAAGTTGAAAGCAAACAGGCCACCCAGCTCTCCCTTTAACCCTCCTACAGCAGAAGAGACCCAAGGGCCAGCCAAATCTACCAGTTCTAGGAAATTATTTTAAAAAAAGGACAAGCACACATTGGGGGGTGGGAAGACCAATCTATTTTCACAAGAATCTGTCCTTGATTAGAGCAGAAACATGGAAGTGGGGGAAAGAACCGATTATTCAGCAGAGAGCTCAGAAGAACAAATAAAAAAGGGGGGAAAAAAAAAGCATATTTGTTCAGGGTGTGATAGAGAGACTTGCAAAGCTCATGGAGACAATTGGAAATTAGGTCTATTGAAGCAGAGGCGCTGGCGCTGAGGGTGAGGAATCAAAGGGCAAGTCCCGGGGAGGCGGCGGGCCGGGGTGGCCGCCCCGGGGTGGGCAGTGACGGGCAGGCTCCAGCGTGTGACCTCTCACAAAACCCTTCCAGGGGGCTTGCACATATTGTATGGGGCATGAGCTGATTTCCACACACAGAGATTCCTAATGAAGATGTCCTTCAGGCGGGGAGGGGAGGAGACGGGGTAATGAAACCAGCCTGTCTGCCAAGCCCCCACCGAAGGTGGCACGGCTGTGTAACAGAATATGTAAAGGGATGGGAAAAATGCTCTTGGCCTCGATGCCATGCAATAAAAAAAAAGAACTCCATGTGAATTAAATCCAAAGTACCTGAATGCTAGAGGCTTGAGGGAAGATCAAGGAACCCCTTGTTTCTTATTGCAGACCAGAGCAGAGCGGCTTCAGAGACTGCCTCTGGTTAAGAAGCAGTTATCATCTGCCTCAGACTGACCTGGCCAGAGTTTGAACTAGTCTGAACAGAGATTTATTAACCCTCACAGTCAGAGATCAATAAATAGCTTCCTCTCAAGCAGGCAAACTGCCCAGAATACAAAAACATGCAACGAGCCTGCCACCAATCTGCTCTCCCCACATCCAATAAAAAGATGCTCTAATTCCCCAAAAGACAGCAATTTCTTATTTCTATAGTGTTTTGAAGCCAACTGTAATATTCACATCTAATTGCAGGGCCCTGGATCCCTGCCATGTAGAGTATGGTTGTTAGCAACATAATTTGTGCACTTCTCTGGGGTCATTTGGAAACTATCTGTACTTACACCCTCCTCATCTGCTCTGCTGAGTGTGTGCTGGTCACTCAGTCTTATCGTGCTGCAAAGGGCAAGGTGCACCACTGAGATTTATGTGCAGGAGAAGAAAGAGTAGATTATGTTCTTCAGGGTCAAAGCCACCCCAGTGCTTCATCTCTCCAATTAACCACTCTGCCAGGGAGAGAGATAAAGCTAAACGTGGGGTGGAATAAAAGATTTAAATTGCAGTTTGACTTTGTGTTTTTTTAATTGAAACTTCATTGGAAGAAAGGGTGAAGGCTTACTATACAAAAAAAATGTTTTTCAGGCAAAAGTCAAAACCACAGGACTGGCATGACTGTGGTAGAAATCAAACCATGGATAAATGAAATGTGGGGAAAAGAAAGATGCTCTAACAAAGTGCCACAGGCTCCAGTGAGCAGTTCCGCTCGACTTTGAAAAAGTCACAATTATTAGACTCTATCTGTATTCGCACTGTGTTTCAAGATACCTTAGCCATACCTTTAGACAAAGGGATGAAGCTCCTTGCTCAAGGAGCCCCTGAGCTGCAAACCTCTACAAGCTGGAGTCTCTACTGGTGATAATCTTCTGCTTCAAAGCTCTCCCATGCATTTTCTGTCAGAGATGGGTGATTGTTTGCTGTGTACCTTCACACTGAGTCATCCCTAACTTATTTCCCAATCCTTTCCTACATGTCATTATTCTTATTCATTGACTCCTGTCTCACATAATTCTGTTTACAAATCCTTCTGGCTGTCTCCAAGCATCTTAACACATCTCCATCTCCAAAACATGATATACTCTATTTTAGAAAAGTTTAAGAGCTCACGCAGGTGGAAACTGTCAGGAATAGCTCCCTGTTACTCACTCTTCAGAGGCTACACAGGGGTGTGACAACATAAGAAAAGCCTTCCTGGTAAAATCAGATCACAGCTTTTGACAGTCAGTGTTTTCAGACATATCCAAGCTGTAGCTAGAGCTTGGCAGGGAAGACTTTCCCCTACTTATAAAAGTTTTCGAAACTATAGTTGATGTTCCTCTCCACATCAGAAAGAAAACTGGAGGGAAATTTCAGAACTGTTCACAAACCATGAGGAAATAAAAAAAAACAAAACAAAACAAAAAAAAACCCCAAAAAAACAACAAAAACAAAGCAAGGCAAAACAAAAATTGGTACAGATTAAAATAATTTTAAAATATTGGATTTTGACTTTTCTTTGCTATTTAATGTCTTTTTTCTATTATAAATTAAATTTTAAAATGAAATGTTATTTCAATGTACAAAACCTTTAAATTTCTAATTATTAAAAAAAGGAAAAATTTGGTTTAGAAGATTTGTAAGAGTTTTGTAAGTTGGAAAACTTGTTAAAACCATCCCATTTACCACAAACAATTACAGTTTAAATACATTTGTCTTTTGTGACAGAAAAAAACATAAGTGAAATAAAATTTCCAACCCTTTCTAGCAGTGACTTCATGTTTTTGTAACACTTTTCAAGGTGAGAGATGCACCAAAATAAAATTCTGACTTTGCCCAGCCCCTGTAACTGCTTGGAGCCAACGACGTTGTCAAAGAAACTGGTGGATCCAAGATTGTTGATGGAGGAAAGAGAGAGGGTCTGAACTGAACAAAAACACTTGTGCCAGTGAGTGAGGTTTGTGTGGTTTGCCCCTTTTCTCCTGGCTGAACACACCCATTGAGGGCTGAGGCACAGAGCCAGGAGCCAAAAGTGGCCAGGTGACCTTGAACAAGCATCAAACTCAGCAGGGGCTCAAAGGACTGCAAGGGAGCCAGGAGAGGTGCTACTTGACCTGATGCTGGCCATGGGGGATAAATAATGCTGCTTTCCAGCAACCCCCACCTGTTTTTCCAGGAGTTTTTCATCCCTGTTCAGTTCTCAGCTGTACATCTGACTCTTAATAAATTTTAAAAATTGATCCATTCAGGGCATAAGGGGTGAGGAAAAGAAAAGGGTCAGCAGATAGCAGGCAAGCCAA